AGTTTAAACATGTAATTTCTCTCTGTCTGTCTGTCTCTCTCTCTTTGAAAAAGACATGACATGTGAGTATATGTAAGAGTATTTACGTTATAAATTGATCTAGCGTCCACAACCTATGCATCTAATTGATGTTCTACATAATAAATTGATACAACGTACTTAACATTCTGCATATCAAGTGCATTATTCTTGATTATAAAGTGCATGCCTTTCCTGGAAGGAATAAAAGCCGCCTGAATTTTTTCATACATCAGGTAAAATATTCCATAATTCTGAAGCAGTTTATAACGTTAGCACCAGATCTCTTGCAGCTTTGCAGCATGATACAGCTGTATAAGAGTAAGAAATATTACTTGCTGCCAGACCGGATCTGATCTTAACATCGAAACATAATTGCATGCTTGCACCTGTATCTGTCGATAAGAAGTGGTTTTTTAAATAAATTTCCTTTTTATTAAGGGTACATACCCCATGTTATGTTTTTTTTAAAATGTCAAAGCATTTATTCAGTATTGCACAACTGTTTTCTTGTTGGAAAATATACGAAATATTAGAAACACAAAAATCGAAGACGTTTAATGTTTAATCTGATGGACAGGTACCATACATTTCGGGAAAAAATATTTTTTTGTATTTTTCTAGTCGTGCATCTTAAACTTGTGTGAACACTCATACTTTCGGTTACATTGTTGGGATACCAGACTGAAGGCAAGTAAAACAATGCATGCCAACCATGCTTATTTCAAATGCAATACAATGAATTGTTGTAAGATTAATACCCCTTTGTATACCATCTGGCTTTGAAAAACTCACTTGTTTTAGATTTGTGGTTCCATATACGAGTTCTATCATGTTCATCATAGGCAGGATCAGGTGCGAAGTAAGCTTCCCCTGTCGACCGGTCACAACTGTCCTTTGCCAATTGTAGTGATCGGGTTAACGAGGAAATCTGTCGATTCATTATGACATTAATGGTCTAACAATTTGTGTGAACGTCAAAATTCAACCTAATAACATATTGTTTTTGCAGACATGTTCATTGTATCGACCATCCAATTTGCGAAATGTTGCGTTTAAACTAGATACCCTTGTATCATCAACTTATTTGTTCGTAGGTTGCCTAGTTTCAGAAGTTGCTTGTAAGAAGGACTTGATCTTGTGTATTTTGTCAATTGGGAGAAATAACACTCATATGTAGATGATATTATATGGCATAAAGCTACATTAATAAAAGAAGTTAACGTTTATCATAAAGTTTATTTATTAGTTTGCCTTCAATGTCTTTAATAATAAATTCAAATATGAAGCAGATGTGTCCGCCTATGTGAAGAAGATTCTAGAAGTTATTGAGAAGAGGAGTTTTAAATGAACTCATCATATTTTCTTTCTTTCTTAATCGACTCTCCCTGAAAAAGGATTGTGGCTTTTCATTTGCTTTTCAATGTAGCAAGCTTGTTTGAAATTATACAAGTAGTTCTTAAGTAGGCATGGGTAATGGAAAATTTAATTGAAACAGACAACAGGCACCAAAAAGACGCACTTTGATCAGAAAAGTTCTCTATAGCTTTCAGCTTAGGTTGGCTCTAAAGAAATTGCATTTATTAATATACTTAGCTTGATGATTTATGTGATTTTGCAAAAACTTACATAATCAATATTTTTATCACTTCCCGTTAAAAAGGAATTTTTATTACAAAATGATGCTACCAAATTAATAATTTTCTGCTCAATACTTTTTCTTTCAAGACTGAATAAATGAAATGTTTACGAGTTATCAATAAATTATTTGTAGCTAATGAGAATTTTAAGAGTCTTTTTTTTTCTTAAATTAATTTTAAGAGACCAAAAAAAAAACAACAACTTTATATTGACATCAACATAATGTCAACAGACACTGAAAGAAATTCGTCTGTAGAATATAATGGAAATAAAATGAACCATTTGAATAAAAATGAAAATTCTGGCTTTTAAAACTAGCAAAGTTTTCATGTTTTGACAAGAAAATATGAATTAAAGATGAATGAACGTTTAAGATCATTTATTTCAGCTCTTCAAGTTTTTTTTAATTTATTAAATATATCGGATTTCCAACGTTTCGGTATGAGGATCACTGAAGAGACTTTGTCGAATTGCACATCTGGTGCATCATAATAAGATTTGCATAGTAATGTTGGTGATTACCTGAGAAATGAATTAAAGATTTACGAGGATGTGGGCTGAAACATTTGTATGCAGTTTATATGTAGCAGCAAAACAATATGCCTCATACTTCACTTAATTAACATCGTAATTTTATATAACGAGAGAATTAATTGTTAGAAATTATCTGGTCAAATCAATAAAAACATATTTTAAGCCATACTAAATTAAACATGCCAAAGCTTGGTTGTTCAGAATGTTTTGGTTCCTGGTCAGAAGGATGTCTCCTGGATTTATTTGAGATTTTCGATAATAAATATCATATATGTAATATAATATGAAAAACAAGAAACAATTGTTTGACAACATGCCCTGCTGATGTAACTTGCAAATTGTAAAACAAAGATTCCCTGAAGTTTTATAATAATTTAAAGACTTCAAATGACTACACAATACGTCCCACATGACGTCCCGCAACTAATACTTTCTGAACCCGCAGACAATTTATTGCCCAAAGAATCTTTTATCAAACTTTTGAAGTTTTATCATAAAGACATCAAATGGCTAAAGATGACGTCGCACAACAAATGGGTAACACTTTCTGAACCCGCAGACAATTTTTGTCCAGAGAAACCTGTTTTAAATTCTATTTTACTTTCATTTTGTGAACAGTTTCCTGCTCGTCAATCCTTCGGTGATTTCTGCTTCTTTGACGCAATTTAATCTGCGGCGCATCTCTATCACAATCAGTTTGTTTATACTACATGTCGTTTCAGATTGTATACTTTTCAGATTGTATACTTTTCAGATTGTATACTTTTCAGATTCCATTGTATACATCAGATTGTATACGCCAGATTCCTTCAACTATCGTGACGATTAACGATTGTTAATAGTCCTATGATCACTCCGAATAAAGATGAATCTCGAGAAAAGCAATGTCTTCAAGTATACACTGTACTAACACCCCCCCCCCTTACAAAAAAAATGTGCAAGATGGTGCCTTTCCCTCCCTACATTCAGAGTACTTGTGTGTAGATTTGGGTTGATTTATAACGAAGTAATTTTGTACCGACCAATTGCAAAATTTCCCAAGTTCCACTTTTTAACAAGTACTTATCTATGAAATCAAGAAGCCCACTCTTTAATCTATCCAATGGTTGTTGGATAATCAAACTTTTGAATATTACTAGCTCTGGAAAATTTTTTATTTTAAATTTCTTAATATAGTTCGTCAGCGTTTTTGAAAATTTACATTTGATATACATCACTTCTTATATATGTTGTACATGTAGCACAGTACGTCTGACGTTTCCCTTTTGTAAGGAGTCAAAATAGAGGCTTGGTAGGCCATTTGTTGGAACCTGCATCTTTCTAAGGACCTCAGCAAAATGTAGAAATCCAGTATAAGTTATGTGAAATATATGGAGATAACGAACAGTATTCAAGCTCAAAAGTCCATTAAACATTACAAAATAGGAGCAGAGCAAACACGGACCTCCAAAACATCAGAGGTGGGATCAGGTGTCATGCAGGAGTGAGCATCCCCTGCCGACCGGTCACACCTGCCGTGTGCTCCTTGTCATGATTGGGAAATAAAGGAAAAATCCGTCGACAATTCAGTGCGTAAATTGAATTCAATTTCGTTGAATGGATTGTTAAAAGCATTAAAAGACTAAAACGTGATTATGAAGAAACGAAGTTCTTCTAGCAAGTCGCTTATTAAACGTCCTTGCGATGAGTAAGTAAATCAAAGCTACGGCTACGTATTGATAGAAATTCTTATGTTTTAGAGATTTAAAAATTAATTGATTAGAATATAGATATCAAATACATACAGGTAAATACTATAAATCTGGGTTATTTTTGTTGCACAATTTTGTTGTTCTATTGTCGTATGTACTTTGTATATACATTTGTATAATCGATCCAGAAAAAATATCTATGCCAAATTTTGTTCCAACTTTGGTAAAAAAAAAAATAAAACTAAACCAAAGCAAAACTTTCCTAGGCAACGGTATACTGTAAGCTGTATATCATTCTAGACTTCTGAAAGGAGGAAGGCGATAAAGGGATCCCGTTTATGGTCATTCTAGTAGTTCATCTGTGATACCTTTTGTCAAAGATGACCATGAAATAAGATGTACCGTGTAATGAACAACAATTAACTTACAAGTACATCTCTGTTGGATTTCAATATTAAATAGGGTCAATTTTCAACGAATTGATGTTATATATGCCCCGAGAAACAAAATTACCTATTCTCTTTAGAGAAGTGGACAGGCTTTCGTCTACATCCATGTGTATGTAGGTGAAAGCCTGTCCACTTCTCTTAAGAGAATTCAAAATTACTAAGCTGTTAAAAAAATTACCCTGCGTACAAATTTCACGATTTTTTGGTCTTAGTTCTCAACGCTGAAAAAGCCTCCACAGATTCAATATTCAACGTTGAAAAATGAATCCCGAGTTACTGTTGAACCCTGGTCAACATTCTTCGTTACACCGGCATGAATCGTCGTTCATATCCTTGTGAATTTTCAAAAATTTCTTAATTAAATGTTTTGAAATCTTGTATTATGTTGTGAGTTTTGGAAGAAAGTATCCAGGCAATACCCAAGCACATTTGGAAAGGAAACAAGCTAGAGGTATGGAATAACAATTTGTTTGCAGTTCTAAAATTTGTGTGAAACCAAGGTAATCAAACTTATCAATGTATTATGAGAAGTGATCATCGAATCTATTTCGATACTAGTATGAGACATATGTACATCCGGGGAACAAAAATTATAAATTGAAAATGGAATGTGTTACATACTTAAATACATATAATCTGACCTAGATAAAATGATAACACTCCACAACCTTACCGTCATTGAGAACCATTCATATCCGGGATTTGTTTCCCAAAGAGAACTGGGTTTGTTCTAATTAAGGTAAAGGTTTACTAAGTATGCAATGACTTGTTTAAATATCATTTATCGTTAACGAAAATGTCATGAAAAAATTTACTTTGACGACAAAAATACCCATTATTTCTGAGGGTTGAACATAATACTAGGTCAATAAAAATGTTTTTAACGGATTTTTATTCAAATATCAACGACATCAGAACTACATTAAATAAAAGTTTTGAAAGTTCGTTAATTTTATGGCCGTTATAACATGTATGACCTTGTTAGCAAATATAACCTATCACTGGGTCGTATTTTGGCTGACTTGTTTCATACTAATTGTTAGGCCTTTGTTTTTGTACTGAATTGACCACGGTTGTTCCGTCTACCTTATCAATACATAGGGCTCACGGCGGGTGTGACCGGTCAACAGGGGATGCTTACTCCTCCTGGGCACCTATGGAATTTCCAGGGGTCCGTGTTTCATGCCCTCTTTTTTGAGATCGATCACTGTTATCTTTACCTTCTACATTTGTTTTATCTATCATAGTATGGAATGGGCATATCACCGTTTTAAAAAAGTAAAAAAAATTATTGCTTTGGAATGTAGTTTTTTTTTATATTGCTGAACACAACTTTAACAAATGTATAAAAAAAGGCAATTTGGCAACGCCGCATGTATCGGACAAACTAAGAAAATATACGTGTGAATTATGTTTGCAGAAAATACATACAAAGCAATTTTCCCCTAAACTTTCTGTTTGCAACAATAAGACCAAGTATGTGCTTGTGTCCCACGGGCTTAAAAGTGTTTTGATACAAAACAGGCATATCTAACCTTAAAATACAACATCATTGGCGCATTGCCTTTAACGACTTGGTTCTTTATAAACGATTCTCATTACGCCCATTGTAATTTACCACGCATTTTGCATACTTATGTAAATCATACATGATTACTGAACAAGGCGCGTTTTTATACTTTTCATTTTTCATTATAGGTGAATTTTTCAGACATGCATCTTGGGTCAGTGCCGGTTATAATCCTTTCTTTAATTATGCTTGACTTTACAACACAAGGTAAGAATTTTAAAAAAGATCTGCTGAGGAAAACTTAAAAAGCTTGGTAAAAATTGTCTGGATATGATTAAAAAAAATAATCAAATGAAGGAGAAATATAAGAAGCTTTTTATTCTTGTCGGTTAGATACAGTTGCCATTTTGATATAATTGTCATACCAGTACGAGTTTAACTCATTAAATTGTTTGATTGATTGATTGTATGTTGTTTAACGTATCATTGGAGAATTTTTCACTCATATAGAGACGTCACCGTACGCCGGTGAAGGGCTTCAAATTTAGACCTAAACTCGGCACTTAGGGCCATTGAGCAGTGAGGGTTCTTTATCGTGTCAACGCCTACCGGGACACGGGACCTCGGTTTTTAAGGTCTCATCGGAAAGACCTGTGACTTTCATTTCTACTGCCGGGCGCTAGGCGAAGGAACAGTCACTACCTATGTTTACGTCTTAGCTTTGACGCGGCATGGCAAACGAGAATCGAACCCGGGCCTCCCGATCACGAAGCGAGCTCCCTACCACTAGGCTACCGTGACCGGTCATTAAATTGTTTGAAATTATCTTTGTATATTTTTAGGAAATGTTAATAATGGGTGACATTGTTGTATCATCAGGGTTCTGTATACTTTTTGTTACTTGTAGTTTTACATGTATAAGTATACTTATCGAGGCTTCTTTTTTGTAAATATTAAAGATACCTATCTTTTTCATTTCTTCTTTGCACTCGAGGAAACAAAAAAAATGCTATTTAGATGCATTCCAAGAAATGACAGACACAAACATATTTCTAAGATGTCAAAATTCAATGTAGAATATATTATCCAAAGCAATATAAGAGGTACAAGTACTGTCTGGTGTAGATGTGTCTGTCTGTTGAAGAGATTTTGTTTTCAAGCTTTGGTATGAATTTAATGAATTGAGACAGTGATAAATTATATTTTAAGTACTTCAGCTCTAACCATCATTTATGGAACTGCTTTTCTTGCTATTTCGAAAGCAGACACCCCAAATGTCAAATAGCCGATAACTCTTTTGTTCTGTTTTATATTTTGGATCGGAAAACTCGAAGCATAAAACTATATTGTTAGGATTTGTTTGCGTTCTCTCCAGTTTCAGATGACAGCATGGAAAGTACTAATATGTGCTTATTTATCTTTCTGTAAAATGATTGAAACGTTTCGTTGTTTCATGGCAAAATGTGTGTTAAATTAAGTATAGGCTGCATTTTATGAGTCTGTCGAGGGAATTGGATACAATTAAAATATGCTATCTAATTTGATAATTGTATACCCTTTTCGTAATATACAAAAAGACTTCATTGAATGATTAAAAGATGTGAATATGAAAATCTACAACGTGTTGATTGGAAAATTTCATTTTACACGTCCACCCAGAGGTACAAAAGCATGCGTGTAGGCATGAGCACAACATAAGATGTAGGTATAGCTACATAACATGTAGGTATAAGTACATAACATGTAAGTTTAGTATATACATAATATATAGGTATAACGTCATAACAGGTAGGTATAATTATATAACATGTATGTTAGTTTTAAATATTTTTAATATTCCCAACGATCAAAATGAATTTGAATTACCACACCTATTCTGGATTCCTAAACTCCATAAAAATCCTTACAAAGATACATAGCGGGTTCTAGTAAATGTTCTACCAAGCCTCTTTCTTCATTCCTCATTAAAATATTTACAGCAGTGAAGAAGAAACTTCAGGAGAACTGTACAATAGTATATTCCAGATGTGGTGTAAATCAAACGTAGATACTTAAAAACTCAAAGAACTTTTAGAAAATTTGAAATCACAAAATTTTACCAAAATCACAACATCAAAACGTACGACTTTTCAACACTTTATATAACCATTCCCCACGATAAATTAAAGTTCAGGCTTTTTGACATCATAGACAGCTGCTTTTTCAATAAAAATGGAACTCGTAAATATACTTATCTTGTCGATCATTGGTCATTTGCAAAACTATTTTGTTAAAAAACATTCTGATTATACACACAAGTACTCTGAAGTTGATATTTAAAAGATGCTTGAGTTTCTGATTGACAATATCTATGTAGTTTTTGGAGATCAGGTCATCCAACAATCTATTGGCATTCCTATGGGTCCCTTTTGCGACCTTTATTATCAGACCTATTTTTGTATTCTTATAAAACAGAATTTATTTTAAAACTTCTACATGAGAAGAAGAAAACGCTCGATGTGGCCTTCAACTCGACATTTAGATATATCGACGACGTATTATCAATTAACAATAGCTACTTCCATTCATATGTCGATTCGATATATCCCAGTGAACTTGAAATAAAGGACACTACAGAGCCTGACACATCTGTTTCATATTTGGATGTTATACTAGATAAAGACTTTCAAGGTAACCTAACAACCAAGCTTTATGATAAACGTGATGACTTCAACTTTTCTATCGTCAACTTCCCTTTAATATTTATGTAATAATATACCCTTATCACCTGCATATGGAGTTTTTTCTCCCAGTTGATGGGATACGCAGGAGCATGCTCTACGTACGATCAATTTTTAAAACGAGGCAAGCTTTCAAATAACAAGTTGATGAAGCAAGGTTATCAATAGTCTCGTTTGACGTCATCATTTCGCAAGTTCTATGGTCGATACAATGACCTTAACAGCCTCGGTTGACAATGGTTTTCTTGGGGTGAAAATTTTCAATGTTACACTCAACTACATGCAGTAATTATTATATTATATTGAATGTTTTATACAAATACATATTACAGTGAACCTTGCGCGCATAAATCCTGCGCAGTCAATTTTTTTTTGGAATAACACCCGTCGTCAAGCAATGTTGACTGTTGCTATGCTGGAGGGCGTGGCTTCATTATTCAGAGGGTAATAGTGTTTTTTAACAAATGTTTCTCGACGAATCAGATTCAACTAATTTACATGAAAGAATAATATAAGTACATAACATATAGGTATAACTACATAACATGTAGGCGTAAGTAAAACATAAATACTGTATTTGGACTTTACAATCTCTGTTTTTGAGATAAGTACTTTAATTTAATTTATAAAGCTAGTTTTGGAATGTTACGAACATACTACCTAATTTTGATTCACACAAAGCAGTAGGTACAGTTTGTCTGCTGGGCATCCTTTGTCCTTAATAAGAAATATTATCTATTATGTTTATATTATCTCTTATCTCTTATGTTTCTTTGCCATATATCGATTATTGTCTACACTTAAACCAGATCAGAAATATATTTAAAGGTTATCCATTCGACCGTTTAAATTTGCATGTGTACATTTGTTAGAAATAACTTCAAACCACACTACAACACTACAGCAGAAATAACTCGCAGTTAAAAAAAAAAAAAAAAAAAAAAAAAAAAAGAGAGAGAGAGAGAGAGAGAGAGAGAGAGACGATGGAAATTCCTCTTTTAAGCTTTTTGGGCGTCGTTGGTCGTATAACAGCAACTGCTGGCCGTACCATGCAATTATTTTAGGCTCGGTCAGGTGCTATAATACGAAAAAAAAAAATAAATGTTTACGAATTCAACGCTTATATTTACATTGTCTGATTTTCTTTCTTGATAAATGTTAATTTCATTCGTCTTTAACAGTGTTTAATGTAGTTAATAGACGTAAATAGCAAATAGACGTAAAAACTGTTTAGACATGGAGAGTTAAAAAACGAATGCCAAATTAATTTTTAACCGTACAATTGTTATATTTTACAACAATTTAATAGGATTTTTGCTTTTAACTAAATCGAGCCAAAACAGTATACGATGTACATCATGTACATTTCCTGGTGTTTTGTGTATTATGTATTCTACCGCGCCGTGAAAAGGTTTTGTGTGTGGTTCTTAAGATGTTTTCAGGGCAGAAAAATTACACTGAATGTAAATAAAATCGATTCCAGCTCTGATTTTTATGCCACCGTGATGGAAAATATAGTTTTTGTTCTGTCCGTCCGTTGTCTGTTTGTCTGAACTTTAACCCTGCCTATAACTTTTGATTGGTTGCAGCTATGGCTTTCATATATGTCACATGTGCATTCCTTGTGACAAGACCTTTCTTTAGGTACCAACAAATTTGACCTCTTGACCTTGATCTCGGAGTTTGACATACTTTTGCAAAATTTTACCAAACTTTAACATTGGCCATAAGTTAATGTTAGGGTTTTCATAATTCACATGTACATGTATATTACTTTTGACAAGACCTTTCCTTGAGTACCAACAGTTTTGACCTTGAAGTTTGACCAACTTTTGAAAAACTTCAACCTTGACCATAACTTTTGAATGGTTGGTGCAAAGGCTTTCATTTTTTCACATGTTATTTCTTGTGACAAGTCCTTCTCTTGGGCACCATTTATTTTGACGCTTTTACCCTGGCCTTGGAGTTTGACCTACTTTAGAAAAACTTTAACCTTGGCCATAACTTTTGATCAGTTGGTGCTAAGGCTTTCATATATATTTCACAGGTACATTCCTTGTGCAAGATCTTCCTTTGGGTACCAACATTTTTTTATCTCTTGACCTTAGAGCTTGACTTGAATTTTAGAAACATGTCTTTGCCATGAGCTGCAATACGGGGCATCAGTGTTTTACAAACAAATCTTTTTTCCCAATTCTATTTTGTTGATTCAGCATATTTTATTGTTTCAGCTAATTATATACGAACATCTGTTTGTGAAGAAGAAAAACAAACTGCAGTTAAAGAAGCAGAAGTGAAGTGCGAAGCAGAGAAACAGGCACTGAAGGATGACGTAACCAGAATGGCGGCTAACAAGCAGAGGATACTTGCACGCCAACTAGCAGATTGTCTTCAACTAGATTCCTCCAGTTGTTCTACCGAATCGAACTGTTTTTGGGACTCGATTGTCAACACTTGCATTCCAAGAGAATTAGCTTTGTAAAGAGTCCACAAGATACCCGATCCGTAGCTTGGCTGGAAATTTGGAATGCTTTCAGTGTTTAAAAAAAAAAATGTACATGGATTTTAAAATGTTCTATACAATAAATCAGTAGTTTTTCGTGCGACTATATAGTTAGAACTCTGTTTTGAATTCATAGCTTAAATTTTACATTTTACTCAAACTTTAACATTTACAGAGCTACATGCAAGTATCTTGGTAGTTTCATACGGCCTTGTACCACGTTTTATTCAAGAAGGCAGAAAATGTAAGAGGATGGCATTTTGAAAAAATCGGAGTGTAGGAAAAGTAGCATTTGTAAGATTTTAATCATGGCAATGCTGTTCATTGAACATAGATACATCTAAGTATTTTTTTGCAAAATCAACAGATATGAGTCTCGAAATAGTATGGAACGAGTTATCTAGCACTATCGAATGATTGCGCAAGTTGACAAATTTTTCCACTTTCACTTTCGCTTAGATTTCATGGGTCGTTTTCTGAACGTTCATAACAATAACAGAATTTACAGATATGGAGAGAAAGAGTGCTTGTGAAATGTGAGTTATATCATTTCAAAGTATTGTTGTTCTTGTAGTATTCATTAGAAGTCATTGTCACGTTTTGGGTCACACACTAACACATAGGGACTTGAGATAATCTTAGCAAAATCGGGTATATGGTATAATAGGGGAGAAAGGACCTAACGAGTCGCCATTAATTCCTCGGTGCCTCGCTTCAAACTCTAAAATCTTCGATTTTTATTCAAAAAACTCATGAAAAAGTTTTGCCAGTCCAAAGGCAGAATGTTGTCCTTTATTGTCATCAATTGATTATTTACCTTACTTCATTAAAACTTAGAAAAAAATATTCTAACTTCTGGGAATTAGGTCGCCGTCGTTTACCCTACACCATTTTTTCCATGCAATTTTCGTGCATTACCTTAATTTTCCGCACTTGTCATCCTTTGCCCTCTATCTTAGAGCAAATTTTAAAAATATAACTGCTTTTGGTCATCCTCGCAATATTTGAGGGACCGTTGATCGTCCGTCTGGAGAGATCAGCTCCATTTTCACCTTCGATTAGCCTCAGAGTTCAATCGGGTCAGCCATATTTGATTCTGTAAACAACTAGTAATATTATCCAATCGTCTTTCACCGTTTAAACTTTAGTCATTCAGTGCGGATTTCATTCAATATGGTTGACCCGATTGAACTCGGAGGCTAATCGAAGGTGAAAATGGAGCTGATCTCTCAAGACGGATGATCAACGGTCCCTCAAATATTGTGAGGATGACCAAAAGCAGTTATATTTTTAAACGTTGCTCTAAGATAGAGTGCAATAGATGACAAGTGCGGAAAATTAAGGTAATGCACGAAAATTGCATGGAAAAAATGGTGTAGGGTTTAAGACGAGGACCTAATTCTCGGAAGTTCGAATATTTTTTTCTAAGTTTTAATGAAGTAAGGTAAATAATCAATTGATGACAATAAAGGACAACATTCTGCCTTTGGACTGGCAAAACTTTTTCATGAGTTTTTTGAATAAAAATCGAAGTTTTTAGAGTTTGAAGCGAGGCACTGAGGAATTAATGACGGCTCGTTAGGTCCCTTCTCCCCTATTATACTAATATACCCAATTTTGCTAAGATTGTCTCAAGTCCCTGTGCACTAACAGGTCCAGTACATCAGTACATTTAGCTTCGTAGCTAAAATTACCTACCGTAGCTTTATTTACATACCTCAGGTAGCTTTATTTAGCTATTTCAAAACAACTTTTAACAATTTTACATTTTATTTTAAAGCTGAACACGACTCTTAAATAGGCATACGCCATTTTCGATATTACTATCTACGATATCAGCACTGGGGTATACTCTTTGCATTTGTTACACCTGACTGCTTTATTTTCATGGGTATCGGCGTGGAATGGTGACCCGTGTTCATGCTGGTTATCTTGCATTAATTACCTTTGTTTACATTTTATTGCAGTAACGTGTATTTGTGTTTGTTTGTATACTGCACTGACCTGTGCAACTGTTGTAAGTTTCTTTGGTATCTTACTCTCTTGCATAAAAAGAAGTACTCGGTTATTTTTTGTCGCTACCAAGTGCTGTATAAGCATATGTCCATCTACACCGGTGACGATTGATTACATTGAACAGTGACTTAGTGAGCGGCTTTGTATAGGGGCCCTCAGATATAGCAGAGACCAAATGAATATGGCCGACACATTCCTTTTACGAATCGTGTTCAGCTTTAAGAAGACAAAAAATCACAAGTAAATGTCTACTAATATCTATTCTTGGTATATTATTTAAAAAGCAATCCAAAGCAGAGATAGTTTTAACATTGCTGCATTTGAACACTTTTTAAGGAAAAGTTTGAGTAACTGTACACACCTTGTGTGCGATGAGGCGTGGATAAATATGATTACTTAACATTGTGCTCATGTTAAACTAAACTGGTTTTCTTTGTTATTTCATTCAAGAGGTAACTGTTTGGTCACAAATTAAATGTAACAGTTGTATATAGCCCCAAAACTTTTAGAACTTTGATTGCAATTGCGCAGAAAAAGACACATCTCCAAGAGTGATTTTTCATGAATGTTTTCAGATGAGTTCAAAGTTGAAAATTATCACTGCATCAAAGTGCAATTTTCTGCACTTTCTGGGAAAAATGCTAATTTAAGAAGTAAGTTTGATTCAGTAGCTAAATAAAGCTACTTCAGGTAGGTAAATAAAGCTATGTAGGTAATTCAAGCTATGTAGCTAAATCTAGTGATTGTACCAGACCTGACTATTCTAATATCAGACACATATGTTTATCTTGTTTATGCTTGTTAAAATTCAGCTCCTGTAAAGTGCTGTAAAAATATATCAGGTAAATAATTTTTGGAAATTTCGTTTACCCTTACATTCTTAAATCGAGTGCACCAAGAATTTAATTGGATTTTAAGTGTATTTTTTTTTCTTTTGGTGATACTGAAAACAATATTGTTTGATTAACCATATTTACTTGTATTTCTGATACTTTATTAACTTTAAAACGGTTCCAAACAGCTCTATATGGCCTTTGAATGTCAGCTATAAAATTTAGCATTCTGACATCAATAAGTGGGGTCTTGCTAAAATAATGCACCCTAAAGTAATTAGTATCAAAAATAGGAGTAAAATATATGATAAATTAACATCAATACTGAGCAATAATTAAGCGAGCAACAAAAAAGCATCACTGTAAATCGAAGGTTTTGGAAATGCTTGGATCTATAGCTCTCTGGTTTATCTGTCTGAATTTTCTCAACCAGAGAGCTATAGTTCTACAGCTACATGTTGACATACAAAATTGTTGGAAATATCAATGGAATAGGGCATGAAGGAAAAGTGCTTACTGATGTCACATAAAATATGATAGAAACAATAGATTAAGTGTAATTGTTATTTGTTTTCAAGCATTCTTGAACTCGACTGTTATAATTTTTCGGCATTTGATTGTAGATTTTCAGCATGCAAAAAATGATGTCACAATCTCATTCATTTATTAACAGAGCAGAGTTTCCTGAAAATGTGACTGAGTTAGGGAAGGCAGAGTTAGGGGGTTTGGCGATAATTTTATTTTATATGGGCCAATGGGTATATGATTTGTAAAGTTTTAAAACTATTGATTTTGTTAAAAGCAAACTAGGCAAGTAAATAGGTCACTGATTGAAAGCTGGCAAAATTGTGACTTTGTTATCCCTGATAATTTTGAAGATTAATGTGATTTAAATTGCACAAGAATTGAAAAAAAGTAAACAATAGGGACCGTGAAATCATGCAAGACTTTGAACTTTTATGAAACTGTTATTTATGTCTTTTGTTATAGTTTTCAACAGGTTGAGACCACTTGTCCTAATGAAATATAATTGGCTGTTTGGGATATAATGTCCCAAATGGGATATAAATTCCAGTGCAAAAAATGATGATTATTAGGTCACCTGAGTCACTCAGGTGACCTATTGCTATCTGTTTTTGTCCGTCGTCGTGCGTCGTCCATCGTGCGTTAACTTTTGAACATTTTTAACTTCTTCTCTAGAACCGCTCAACCAATTTCAACCAAATTTGGTATATAGCATCTATGGGTGAAGGGGAACAAAAATTGTGAATTTCATGGTCCCTGCCCCCCCGGGGCCTGAGGGGTGGGGCTAAAACCACCAAAAATAATGCAATCTTTAAAAATCTTCTTCTTTACTCCCGGACATGAAGCAGTCAAACTGTTGGCATCATTGTAATAAGCATTGAGCCCTCTACCAAAATTGTGAAATTCATGGCCCCAGGGTCAGGGGTTCTGGCCCCAGGGTGGGGCTATATAGATCATATAGTGAAAGTGCATAAATTCTTTGAAAATCTTCTTCTCTGCTCCTGGGTATTAAATAAAGTTACTAAGTACATAGTTATGATGAGCAAGACTGTCTCTTCCAAAATTGTGAAATTCATGGCCCCAGGGTCAGGGGTTCTGGTGTTAGGGCGGGGCTGTATTGATTATATAGTGAAAATGCATTAATTCTTTGAAAATCTTCTTCTCTGCTCCTGGGTATTAAATAAAGGAACTAAGTACATAGTTATGATGAGCAAGAGTGCCTCTTCCAAAATTGTGAAATTCATGGCCCCAGGGTCAGGGGTTCTGGTGTTAGGGCAGGGCTCTATAAATTATATAGTGAAAATGCATTAATTCTTCGAAAATCTTCTTCTTTGCTCCTGGGTATTTAATAAAGTAACTAAGTACGTAGTTATGATGAGGAGGTGGGCCTCTTCCAGAATTTTGAAAGCCATGGCCCCTGGGTCAGGGGTTCTGGTGTTAGGGCAGGGCTCTATTGATTATATAGTAAAAATGCTTTAATTTTTTGAAAATCTTCTTCTCTGCTCCTGGGTATTATTTAAACAAACTAAGTGCATGGTTATGATGCATAAGGATGCCTTTTCAAAAATTGTGAATTTCATGGCCCCAGGGTCAGGGGTTCTGGTGTTAGGGCGGGGCTCTATTGATTATATAGTGAAAATGCATTGATTCTTTGAAAAACTTCTCTGCTACTGGAGATTATTTAAACAAACTAAGTGCATGATTATAATAGACAAGGATGCCTCTTCCAAAATTTTTAAATATATGGCCTCAGTTTTTGGGGTTCTTGAGGAGGGGGGGGGGGGGGGCTAGGGCAACAATGCTTCATCTATCAGTGTATTTAACTTCTAAATTGTTGTATTATACTCAGGTGACCGTTAAGGCCCTTGGGCCTCTTGTTTTTCATTTAGCTATAAATATTATAAATCCACATAAAAATACTTAAAAGCAGGAACTTTTGGTTAAAAAGTATTTCTGTATCCCTGCTGTGTAGGAGATTGATCCCTTTGAAGATTATTAGATATAAATTCAATTTTAAATTTTACACCTTTAAGATGCAAGAAAGATGAAGTGAAGTACACATGTCCCCGGTGTAATATCAGATACTGTGGACTGACGTGTTACAGGGATGACCTACACAGGGATTGCTCCGAGGCTTTCTACAAAGACTGCTGTATGGAAGCCTTAGAGAATCAGGATGTCAGGTAAGACTGCTGTATGGAAGCCTTAGAGAATCAGTATGTCAGGTAATACTGCTGTATGGAAGCCTTAGAGAATCAGGATGTTAGGTAATACTGCTGTATGGAAGCCTTAGAGAATCAGGATGTCAGGTAAGACTGCTGTATGGAAGCCTTAGAGAATCAGGATGTCAGGTAAGACTGCTGTATGGAAGCCTTAGAGAATTAGGATGTCAGGTAATACTGCTATATGGAGCCTTAGAGAATCAGTATGTCAGGTAATACTGTTGTATGGAAGCCTTAGAGAATCAGGAGGTCAGGTAATACTTAATAAAAGGCATTAGGTCTCTACCTGACTAGGTAACCAATGTCGTGAATGTACTTCTATCTGAGATGAAAAATGAAATAAACATGATAAAGTACAGTAAAACTTGTTGTACATTCTGAAATCTTGCCTATCATGATTTTAGGACTTACGGAAGTCCTTTTCAGTAAATTCAGTTGTTTGAAATGTTATCTTATGTACAATGTTGTCTAATCAGGCCAATTTCTATGGAACAGTGGTGTCTGGCTTCGACAAGCTTTGCTGTAATTGAAAAGGTTTGTTTTAAGAAGAAATACTACATTGCTGATAACCTTTAACTATAACACTGTGAATAAAGAAGATATCTATTTTTTTAGGTCACCTGAGTCACTCAGGTGACCTATTGCTATCCGTTTTTGTCCGTCGGCGTGCGTCGTGCGATGTGCGTTAACATTTGAACATTTTTAGCTTCTTCTCTGAAACCGCTCAACCAATTTCAACCAAATTTGGCATATAGCATCTATGGGTGAAGGGGAACAAAAATTTTGAATTTCATGGTCCCTGCCCCCCTGGGGCCTGAGGGGTGGGGCTAAAATCACCAAAATTAATGCAATCTTTAAAAATCTTCTTCTTTACTCCTGGACATCAAGCAGTCAAACTGTTGGCATCATTGTAATAAGCATTGAGTCCTCTACCAAAATTGTGAAATTCATGGCCCCAGGGTCAGGGGTTCTGGTGCTAGGGCGGGGCTATATAGATCATATAGTGAAAGTGCATTATTTCTTTGAAAATCTTCTTCTCTGCTCCTGGGTATTAAATAAACTCACAAAGTATATAGTTATGATGAGTAAGAGTGCCTCTTCCAAAATTGTGAATTTCATGGCCCCTGGGTCAGGGGTTCTGGTGTTAGGGCGGGGCTCTATTGATTATATAGTGAAAATGCATTAATTCTTTGAAAATCTTCTTCTCTACTCCTGGGTATTAAATTCAGTAACTAAGTACATAGTTAGGATGAGCAAGAATGCCTCTTTCAAAATTGTGAATTTCATGGCCCCAGGGGCAGGGGTTCTGGTGTTAGGGCGGGGCTCTATTGATCATATAGTGAAAATGCATTAATTCATTGAAAATCTTCTCCTCTGCTCCTGGGTATTAAATAAACTAACTAAGTACATAGTTATGATGAACAAGAGTGCCTCTTTCAAAATTGTGAATTTCGTGGCCCCTGGGTCAGGAGTTCTGGTGTTAGGGCGGAGCTCTATTGATTATGTAGTGAAAATGCATTAATTCTTTGAAAATCTTCTTCTCTACTCCTGGGTATTACTGAAACACATTAAATACATAGTTATGATAATCAAGGATGCCTCTTCCAAAATTGTGAAATTTGTGGCCCCTGGATCAGGGGTTCTGGTGTTAGGGTGGGGCTCTATTGATTATAAAGTGAAAATGTTTTAATTCTTTCAAAATCTCTTTCTCTGCACCTGGGTATTATTTAAACAAACTAAGTACATTGTTATGATAAGCAAGGATGTCTCTTCCAAAATTGTGCAATTCATGGCCCCGGGGACAGGAGTTCTGGTGCTAGGGCGGGGCTATATAGATCCTATAGTCAAGGTGAATTATTTCTTTGAAAATCTTCTTCTCTGCCCCTGGGTGTTGTTTAAACAGACTAAGTACATTGTTATGATACGCAAGGATGCCTCTTCCAAAATTGTGAATTTTATGACCCCAGGTTTAAAGGGTTCTGGTGAGGGGGGGGGGGGGGGGGCTTCTATTGATTATAAAGTGAAAAAGCAAAATTTCTTTGAAAATATTCTTTTCTGCTTCTGGTTAAAAAAGCAAAGAAGCTAAGTGTATAGTTATGATGAGCAAGAGTCTTCTTTCAGAGTAGTGAATTTCATGACCCCTGGGTCAGATGTGCTGGTGTGAGGGTGGGGCTCTTGATAATATAGTGAAAATGCATTAATTCTATTAAATAATCCTGTTTGCTCCTTAGTGTTAAGCAGATAAACAAAGTGATTAGTTATGATGAGCAAACTTATGGTCCCAGGGTCAGAAGCTCTGGTGTTTCGGGGGGGGGGGGGGGGGGGGGGGGGGGGCTCTATTGATAATATAGTGAATCTGTCGTAAAAATGCATTATTTCTTTAAAAATCTTCTCCGCACCTGGGCATATCTGAAGGTAAATAGAGTAAAAATTTTATAAGGAAGGGAATTTTTACCAGATTTTTGAACATCTGGACCATTTGGTCAAGTTTGGGCAACAAAGCTTCACCTTTCAGTTCATATTATACTCTATGCATCCTTTAAATTATTGTATCATACTCAGGTGACCGTTAAGGCCCTTAGGCCTCTTGTTATATTCTTTCAACCTGATGCAAGTAACTGTGTACATGTATCTCTGCTCCACAGTTGGGGGAAAGGGGAGGTCCTTGATTTGACCTTCATTTTACTCTTTAAAGGTTTACATTTGAAAAGTAACTAAATGCTTAAATACCGAGGATAATATTTTTCCCTGGGTTTTCTTTCATTTTTAAGCTCGCCTGAGCTGAAAGCCTAATCGGCCTTTGCTGATTACCTATTGTCCAGCATCCATCTGTCTGTCTAGCTGTCGGTTTATAAATCCATCTGACTGACTGTAAACTTTTTACATTTTTGACTATTTTTTAGAACCACTGGGCCAATTTCAAGCACATTTGGTAACGGGGATTTTAAATTATAGAAATGAAGAGCCAACCCCTTTTCAAAGGGGAGAAAAATCAAGAAAAAGTAAATATAGGGTGTGGGGTCATTAAAAACTCTTCTCAAGAACAATTAGATAAGAAACTAGAGCCGAGCTCGTTGCAAAGCAACGAGTAGGTCTTCCGTTGGAGCTGCAGGCAGGAAGAAGTGACCTTGAGTCAAGGTCATGCCATATCATAAGGTTATAAGCAATCTTGTAAGAGGTATCAACTAACAATGTTTCACTCTGTATTATAAAGACGATAAAGGAATGCATGTGACCTTGAACTTGTCCAAATGACCTTGCGAAAGTCATGACACTCTCTGGTTATGAGCAAACCCCATCTGTGTATTACTAACTTCTCAAATTCACTCATGTTCATACAGTCCATACATCCAGTCAAAATATCTTATCCTTATTGACCTTGAACTTGAGTTTAGGCCATGTCACACTCTGCATGATACCAACAATGTTTCACTAGAAAAAGACGGTAACGAATTTAAAGCTTCTCATCCAAACTCATCCAAATGACCTTTCATCAAGACCATAACACACACTGGTTAAGAAAAATCCCAATCTGTGAGTTATTGACTGGATAAGGTTAGCCATGTTCTTTCAGACCATAGATCGAGTCAAATAATTTATCAGGTTCCACACAATGATTTAAGGATTCATTGTGAATGTTTTTGTCCAGTTTGGATATTGAACAAGACGTGTTTGTGAAACACTGATGCCCCGGTATCGAGCTTATGGCAAAGGTTTAAGTTTCTCAAATCCGTATCCAACTCCAAGGTCAAAGTCAAGAGATAAGAAATTATGTTACCCAAAGAAAGATCTCGTCTCAGTGAATATAACTGTGAAATATGAAACCGCTATAAGACTAACTATTGAAAAGCATGGCAAAGGTTAATTTTTTTTATACTCAAGTCAAATGTTAAGGTCAAGGATAGATTAACGGTGTCCAAAGGAATGCCTTGTCATAAGAAATAGACATTGAAATATGAAAGCCCTAGCATTAATTATTCAAAAGTTATGACAAAGGTCAACGTTTTTTTTTTTCAAAAGTAGGTCAAACCCCAAGATCAAGGACAAAACTCAAAACTGTCGGTACTCAAGGGAGGGTCTTGTCACAAGAAACACACATGTAAAAATACGAAAACCCTAACACCAACCGTTGAAAAGTTATGAATGAGATTAAAATGTTTCAAAGGTAGGTCAAACTCTAAGGTCAAAGGTGAAAAGTCAAAACTTTTAATTTTTTTTAAAGTACGTCAAACTCCAAGGTCAAGGTCAAATAGTAAAAATTGTTGATATCCAATGAACAGCGTTTTCACAAGGAATACACCTGTGAGTGTGAAAACACTAGTCCCAACCGTTCAAAAGGTATTGCCAAGGTTAGATTTTTTAAAAAGTGGGTCAAACTCCAAGGTGAACGTCACAAGGTCAAAAATATTTATTCCAAAGAAAAGGTCTTGTCACAAAGAATTTCGGATGTGAAGTATGAAAGCCCTAACGCCAACTGTTCAAAAGGCTAAATTTTGCATAGTTGGTCAAACTAAAAGGCTGTAGAAAGGATAAGAGAGACTCCGAGATATTCAATCAAGTAAACTTATGATACTGCAGATCAAATAAAGCATGAGCTATAAGAGCAGGCACGTAGCATCAGCCTCCCCCTTTTTTCAGACCTAATTTTTTACTTTAGTAATGTTCATTGAAAGTCCCGTTGGCCCCCACTTTTTGTTGCAGTATAGTCCCGTTGTCCCCACCCCTTTCCGCCAGGAAATAGGATTCTGAGCTATTTTCCTATTTTGGTTTTGCTTGTGAAGTCTTTTCAGGTAAGTTAATTTTTTTTCTCTGGCTCCCCCCCCCCCCCCTTTTCAAAAACGATGCTATGTCCTTGAAAAGTAACATGTAGAAATGTCTGTCCTGGCATATGTTAAAGTTTTATAATCTAAAGCCTAACTTTGCACTTAAACCACAAACACATACGTGTAGTACAAAATAAT